TTCCTTCCAAGCATACATACATAAGAAAAGAATATAAATCGCCCCACAGCTTACAAAATGCGATTTCAAGTCACTTCGTTTGTGGGCTCGGAGAGGGAACCCGGGAAATGCCGATTCAGACGTGGGATCACCCTGCTAGTGAGGATAAAATCGTCCCCTCCCAGTCTGTCTCAGCGTAGCGATTCATGCAGCTTAAGCGGCGATCTCTGAGGAAAAGATAGAAAGCAGCGCAGCAGCAAATGGCGAGCAGGAAAAAACGGCGCACTGTGTGCCAAAATGATGATCAACACTACTCCCAAGCAATGGTTTGAGAATGAACCCCAACGAAGAGGGAGTAGCGAAATGCGGTGGGTAATCCAAAGTGATTCAGCTAAAATCCCACTGGGAAGCACAACGCCTTAACTGAGTACTGGGTCCATACGATCCGGAGATCCTGGATTATAGTCAAGGCACTCTCCATACGAAGGACAGCTGCCCGTGGGTTGTGGGGCAATTCTAGTAACGTTTAGTCAGCACCGCGTTTTACACCCCACTCTGTCACTTTCATTATCGTAACAAGAAGTAAGGCGTTCTTGTGAGACTTACAAATACTGAAGAGTCGTGGTTTTGAAGCCGATAGGTGAAACCCGTGAAAGGCCTTGGTTCTCCAACGAGCTGTTGAGCACATACAGTTTCAGCCTCAAAAAACAGATCTTCGGCCGTCGATGTTTATACTCAGAGCGACTTCAAATTTGGAAGCAGGGCAATGTTGCTCAAACCCAGCTCGGCGCTCACGTTGACCCAGTTATGAATTCTTCTGGGCGATAACACAAATTCCGAGGGATGAAGGTGTCGACGGCTCAAGCAAACGAGTTCCTTACAGCTCCTCCAGCCACTTGAGCGCGCTGAAGCTCATGATAATCCCTTGGCTGTCGTTGAAGGAGTATCCGGTGCTCGTGATGTGCTTGAAGGACGGAGGCAAACGAGAGCTAATCGATAAAGGGTGAGGCCGAAAGGGCGAGTGGAGATCAACTCCTTGCCTCCTCACACACATACATGCATTACTAACAACAATGAAACGACTGTCAGATCCTCACACTGCGGTGACGGAGTCGCCAGTCTGGGAACAAACAATTTAGTCGCCGCCTTCTTTCCAGCCGCAGCAGTCTGCGGGGAAAACCGTGCTCGGGGGACGGAGAAGGCATACCCACCAGAGGAATCCACAAAGGAAAAAGCAAGACGGCCGCCCAAGGGAAGAGAACGACTGAGGAAATGGAGGTAACGAGAGGGAGGGCCCAGGGTGCGGGAGGCTGCGGGTGGGAAAGTACCCTGGGCCTCCCTCCTCGGAGATCGCAGCTTAAGCTGCATGAATCACTACGCTGAGACAATCTCCTGCGTCGGTCGGCCCAGGGTGCTAGTTCGTCCAAGAAACCCGCAGGGGGGCCGGCTGACTACTGCTGGCGACACCACAGACTCGAGGTGCATGGCAATCGATTCTGAGTGTTGCTCTGCCTATTGGTGCTGACTGTGTGGATTGGTGTCTGAGCCGTTGCTGAACGGCCAGAAATGACAGGAAATGATTCTCTTGGCGAGAATCTAATCGCTGAAGCTCCTGGTGCAACTGCGTGCCGCAAATGTCCTGCCCACAAAAACCACCCAGCGCCAATGTGGTGTGCTGGGCATGCGAACTGACTTGCTGCCTGCCGATGACTGTCAGAAAAAGCCGAGGCGATGCGGCAACGGGTGGCAGTTGCATCCTCAAGGCCGATGAACATTGCAGAAGATTTGTGTGCCGCTTGTCAGCTTGCTAGCGCCCGCGGACCTCCCCGTCGGTGCGGACAGCTGGAAGGGCGTGCACGTGCGGGACGGCGTGCGCGCGCGGTACGTGCAAAAGAACGATGAGGAGCACGCCGAGGGCGAAAAGGGCGACGGTACGACCGAGTGGGTGTGCAAGCCTGTTCCGGCAGGGCACCGATTCGAAGTGAGTTTGGTGTGGGAGCTTGTTGCTGCGGACGGGCTCAAGTGGACGCTGTCGGAGACGGACTTGTGGAGGAGAAGGTGCGTTTTCGATAGGGTGCGTTGTCTTATTCTCTGTTGGTCCACTTGTTCCAAGTTGGTTTCCACCAGTACCAGAAGTGTTCCGATTCAATACATTCCGACCTATATCTTGAAGCCAGAACCGTGTGGAAAACTAGTAGCTCTGAGCTATTTTGTTTCTCCGTGCCCAGTACTGAGAGGGAAATCGACGCCGAACCAAAACTGCGAAGAGCGTTTGGCGAAAAGAGCCGTGTCATGATCCATTATCGTGCGGTTGTGTCGCAGGACTGGAGAGGCTTGGGATGACGTCGCGCTGACCCTGAGTGACTCGACCGTCCCCCTCCTCGGACTGGCCCTCTCTTGTGTCCATATTCGATGTTGCTGCTCCGTCGACAGTTCCAAGCGGTGGTAAAAGCGCCAAAGATACCAAAGTGTTTATCGCTGAGCTGGTGCTGGAGAGTATCGATGTGGAGTGGGTCGTGGTGCCGAAGGAGGCTCCGACTGCTTTCACTCTGGTCTGTCAATCCGCTCGTTCCTTAACAAAAATACAGAGCAAGATCACGAACTCGACCCCTACGTCCTCCTCCTTGGTCCCGCCTCCTTCCTCGTGAACAACTCATTCTCGACCAAATCCGCCCTCCCACTGGTCCACCCCTGCGAATTTTTCACCGCCAAGCTTGGCCCCGACCCCTCTATCCGCGCCACCCTCTCACCCCTCGTCCAAAAGCGCACCCAGGCAACCAATGGCACCATCACCTTCTTTAGCCGGCGCCTCGCGATCCACAACACGCGCCCCTCTGCGCTCCCCCGCCTCGTCGTGCGCGACCAGGTACCCGTCCGCGGCGCCAGCAACGAGACCAAGGTCGCGGTGCTGGCGCCCGCGGGCCTGCCCGTTGGCGAGGACAGCTGGAAGGGCGTCGCCGTGAGGGAGGGCGTGCAGGCGCGGTACGCGCAGAAGAACGAAGGGGAGAGGTTGGAGGGCGCGAAGGGGGACGGTACGATCGAGTGGGTGTGTACACGCGTTGCTGCGGGACAGAGGTTGGAAGCTAGCCTGGTGTGGGAGGTGAGCGCACCAACCGGTTACAGTTGGACAGTGTCTGAGACGGATGAGAAGCCTCGCAAGCGCGATGCCCTTTCGCAGAAGGTCTTCGGGCTCTGATTGAATGTTGGCTTGTGTGGCCAAGCTTTTTTTATTTTTGAGGAACAGCCACACAAAAAAGCAATTGTCCCAAACATGTCCGACGAGGTTGTCGTTCGAAGGTTGGTCCACCCAACTCAACCCAACCCGACCCCTTGACAACAAACTCACAGCCCACGTTCATGCAACGTGCAGAGTCGATGCAGGAAACCCGAAGGAGCAGAATGCCATGATCGACCTAACCCGCAGGGCGTTCTTCAACCAATTCGAACCCGGCGCCGACGAGCACTACCTCCTTCACCTGCTCCAGTCGCACCCCGACCACATCCCCGATCTCTACTTTGCCGCCTTCCTCGACAACGAGCCCGCCGGCTGCATCGCCTTCACACGATCGTCAGTCTCGCACGACGACGGCACCCTCACCGAGACGTGCACTTTCGGTCCCGTGTGCACAAGGCCCGATCTCCAGGGTCGCGGCATCGCGCGCAAGCTGATTTCGCACTCGCTGGACGCCGCCAGAGACCTGGGATTCAAGGCGTGCATCATCTTTGGCGATCCGCGCTTCTACTGGAGGCTTGGGTTCCGCTGCGCGGAGCGGTACGACATCGCCGACGAGGACGGGTACTTTCAGGTTGCCATGATGGCGAGGGAGATCCAGCCGGGTTCGCTGAGGGCTGGGACGTTTCGGGACTCGGGGGTGTTTCGGTCGCTGGAGCGCGCGGAAGAGTGGGACAGGGAGAGGGGGGCGGAGATGTGGGACAAGGTGGAGGGGCGACCCAGCCAGCTGGACTTTAAGCTGCTTAGCTCGCTGTGCTACAAACGTACTTAGTCCCGCAATTCTCTTGTGCACCTAATGTTCAAAAAACAAGAGCGACGACCCAAACTTAAAACCTGAGGCAAACACCAACCGACAGCAATATCTGTCGTGAGCCGGAATTCAGCTCATCCAAGGGCACCCAGACCCTAGTTGGCAGATCGCCCCCTCGCTTCAATGGCCACCTTCGCCCGCCGATGTTTCCAGCGGCGCCAAAGATAGCAAGCAGCGCAGCAGCAAATGGCGAGCAGGAAAAACGGCACACTGTGTGCCAAAATGATGATCAACACACTACTCCAGTGCAATCTTGGCTGTCGTTGAAGGAGTATCCGGTGCTCGTGATGTGCTTGAAGGACGGAGGCAAACGAGAGCTAATCGATAAAGGGTGAGGCCGAAAGGGCGAGTGGAGGTCAACTCCTTGCCTCCTCACACACATACATGCATTACTAACATCAATGAAACGACTGTCAGATCCTCACACTGCGGTGACGGAGTCGCCAGTCTGGGAACAAACAATTTAGTCGCCGCCTTCTTTCCAGCCGCAGCAGTCTGCGGGAACCGTGGCGTTCACGGGCAGCAGGCTTCGGACAGCAACGCAGTCGCTACTGGTCGCCATTCCTCGCTTGGCTCTTAACCGGCTGCTAAGCCAGATCGGCAGCAGACAAAATGCAGGCACTGGCGAAATCGATTTGCCTCGCTCTGTTTGTGTTGTCTGTTCATGGTTCAGTGCCTCGCCTATGGCATCATCAACCCAGGAAGAAAGATTTTGCGTAATAGAGTAACGAGAAATCCGCCAAACTGCCGCACGCACGAGCTGCAATAAAGTCGATCCGTGCTGGTAGCTGCTTTGAAGGCACGGCTGCTGATGGATCATCCCGAAGGGGTTTCAAGTCAGGGAAAGACCTCTTAATCCTCTCTTTGGAGAATGTGTGTTGCTCCAACTTTCTTGAGGGAGACGATCGGAAGTGCTACTCTATAACCCAAACAACTACAGAAGGCAGCCAAGACGAAAAATGGACTTCCGCGTAAAAGTGCCTGAGCAGTGAATTGAACACTGGACCCTTACATTGCAGCTCTCGTTTGAGGTACAAGTGTAAAGCTCTACCCCTGAGCTACACAGGCTCTGCAGCACGTAGAAAAAAATCAACCGAAGCACTACCAGTACAACACCTGCCAATGCAAACCCAACCTTTCCAGTTAAAGAATTTGAGCGAGACGTGGTTTTTATACTGTTCGGCGGTTCTCCGTGCCTGGTTGCAAAGATTTTCCTGCGCTTCCCAGTTTGTGGATGCACTTCTATTCAGTCGGCAAGATTCTTGCAAACTTCACCCAACTAATTTGTTTGGGGCATGGTTAGGAGGCGACGTGAGCAAGTCAGCGGCATCACGAGGAAATAGCGCAAATAAGAGAGATGAAGAATGAAGAAACGCCCATTCCACAAAAAGGGTAACAATTAGAAGATAACTGAGCCCCAACGCTTCTGCCCCCAAATTATCACTTCTTCCGAGAGCCGCCCCCAGGCGCCCCTCTGATCTGCGCCGGCTTCACAAACGGCGCCGCGACCAGAATCGCCCCCGAAAACAGCAGCAGCAGCCTAAAGATATTCGCGTACGCCGTCGTAAACGAATCCAACAGCTCCACCAGCGCCTCCGCCGCGTTCGGGACCGCCCCGCTCGCCGCCGCGGCGACAAGCGCCTCCCTCAGCACGACGACCTGTGTCCTCGGAATAGCGCTCAACGCGGGCGACGACTCGAGCACGCGGATGAGAGTCGGGTGCGAGTCGATCTGGGTCGACAGGACGTTGTTGAGCATGGTGCCCGTGATGGCGATGCCAAAGGCGCCGCCGAGCGTCTGCATGAACTGGGAGACGGCCGTGACGACGGCGATTTTCGGGAGGTCCACGGAGGCTTGGAGACCGATGATGCGGATCTGGATGAGGGAGCCGCAGCCGACGCCGAGGATGAGGAGGAAGCAGACGCGGGCGGCGAGGGAGGACGAAGGGGTGAGGAAGGAGGTCGCGATCAAGCCGGCGGAGACGAGGACGCCGCCGATGTAGAGGAAGTGGACGTATTTGCCGGTGCGGGACACGATTTGGCCGGATGAGATGGAGAGGAGGACGACGCCAAAGATAAGAGGGATCGTGTTCAGGCCAGCCGCTGTGGCCGAGACACCGTAGTCGACTTGGAAGAAGAGCCTGTGGTTTGGTTTAAGAAGCGTAAGTGATGGGAGTTGTCAAGCAAGTTAACAAAACAGGCAAGAAATCGCTTACGCAATGTAGTACACGGCCGAGAAGAACGCCGCTCCAAGCGAAAAGGCAATCACCAAGAACGCCGGGACGCTCGAGTTCATTAAGATGGACGGCGGCACAATCGGGTTCTTGGCGACTTTGGTCTGCACGTACATGAACGCGACGAGCAGGAGGACAGAAACCACGAGAAGCGCAATAGTCTGCGGGGAGCTCCATTCCCAAGTTGAGCCAGCCAGTTGGATAGGCGTAACGAAGCAAGTGACACCTATGAAGACGATGCAAGTTCCCAAAAAGTCAATCTGACGGATTTTGTCGGCGACGGAGCCCGTAGGTGCCTCCAGATTCAAAACGAAAATGACGAAAGCCATGGTGATTACGCCGACGGGAAGATTGATGTAGAAGCACCATCTCCAGAGACCATTGTCAGCAAAGCCGCCGCCGATGAGGGGGCCGATGACAGAGGACAGACCGAAAACGGCGCCAATCATACCCTGGTACTTTCCTGATTGAAGAGTACAAAAGTATTAGAAAGAATTCAAGCAACCAACACTCCATGGTTACTCACCTCGGTCAGCGATGGAGACGATGTCAGTGATGATAATGAGCACGAGCGAAAAGATACCGCCTCCGCCTAGAGAGGGAGCCGTAAGCCTTCTGGTCGAGTGTCATGTGGACCGGCAGTCGGGGACTCACCAACACCAGCAATGGCTCGGCCGACGATAAGAAGTTCCATTGAGTTGGCGGCGCCGCAGATGGCCGATCCAATTTCAAAGACGGCAATCGCAAAGATGAACACCCACTTGCGGCCGAAAATGTCGGACATGCGTCCGTACCTGGGCGAAGCGGAATAAAACAAGGTGACATGAGCAAGTGGGACAAACGCCATACAACCAATCTGGGGGGTCTTACAGCAGCGAGAACGAAGTTGCGGTAATCAGGTAAGCGGATCCGATCCACGAGATCAGCTCCTGGTGCCCGAGGTCCGCCACGACGACCCTCAGGATGGTCGACACAATCGTCTGGTCCAGCGCGGCCAGCAAGATGGCGAGGAGTAGCGCAACAAAAACCATGGCAAACTGCACGCGGCCGAGCGGGACCTTGACAAAGTCCTGGTCAAAGGCGGGTCGGGAGGGGGACGACGACGCATCGGGAGGTGGCAGAGGAGCCTCCGGGTCTGCCGACTTTGCGGCCGTGGTGGTGGTGGTGGTGGTGGAGAGGTCGGCGCCGTCGAGTCCGCCCTCGGTTGTGATGACGAAGCCCTGTTCGGTGCCGGCGAGGGTCGACGACGCCTCCTTCTCGGGTGCGGGCGAAGGTTGGTGTTGCAGTTTGCCGCTGCTGCTGCTGCTGTTGTCAGTGGAGCTGTCGGTCGCCATGGTATGGTGAAGGGAGGTGATGATAGGGTCGGGTGGGTGCTTGCTGTTGTGTGTGCGTGCTGTGCGATAAGTTGTTGTTGTTGTTGTTGTTGTTCGTGTGGGCCAGAGAGGATAGCGGGCTAACAAGCCAAGGTGAGGGAGGGCAGCAGCGCTGACTTGGATCGCTCCTCTCTTTTGCTGCTGCTTTTGTCAGCGTGGATTTATGCGATTCCAAAGCGTAAGCGAGTCTGCCGCCCTTGCTTGGCGCCTCATTGCCTGCGTCCTGTCTGTCGGTCTGACTGTGTGTCTGTCTGTCCGTCTGTCTGTCTCTCTGTCAGTCTGTCTTGCCTGGTCTGTCTGTCTTGTTTGCGGACAGAACCGATTCAAATGTTTTTGGCTCAGTTCCGGTTTTGTTTACGGCGGTGGACACTTCCGCCATGCAGCCGAAAGGTGATTTTCCCTTGCGGAAAAGAAATGAAGAAAAAACGACTGTTATGGTTCAATAATACATCATCCATGAGTTTGCGGATCGCGCGTTGGGGCGTGGTGGTGGAGGAGAGAGGTGAATGGAAGAGTGTGTGTGTGTGTTGTGAGGCGAGATCTCTCTAACTCAACTCAAAAATATTTCCCCACCCTCTCCAACTCACGATCCCCTCCCAAGCCATGGTTCGCAGAAGAAGAGTATTAATACCAACATTTTCGCCTCCCACGACGGTTAGTTACAAGCAAACAACTTTGATGGACAAAGAAGGACACTAGCGCCCCCATACTTGTATTCCATGCAAACGCTCGACTGGTTCTTGCCCACTCGACTTGCAAACGAAAACAGACCGGATAAAGACTTTCTCCACCTTTTTTTTTTTTTTTTTTTTTTTCATCCCTTGATTTCCTCGTCCTCGGACTTTCGCGGAACGATCACGGGCAGGTGGAGGTGGCGGACGAGGTAGTCGCTCACGGCTGGGAGAGTGAGAGAGAGAAAAGGAAAAAAGACAAATGCGAAACAGGGTTGATGCGTGGTCGATTAGCAGGACGGGGCAAGGGGCCACAAAACGCTTACATCCGAGGAACGCCCTCTTGATGGCGCCGAGGCCGCGAGACCCGACGACGAGCATGTCGGCGTGGATCTCCTCGACCTTGAAAGCGATCTCGTCGCGCGGGTCGCCGCGCAGCGCGACGCCGCGGATGTTGTACCTGGTTGGTCGGTGCAGACGATCAGTTGTTAGGGCGACAGAAACAAGAGGTAAGATAGCGAAAGCGATCAAGGGAGTGATTCATGAGAGGTACGTACTTGAGAGCAGGGACCTTGGCGCCGTAAGCGCGCAGGAGGTCGTGCGACTCTTTCCGGTTCTGCGAGGAGCCAGGCGTCGATCAGATGGTCGTTCTCAAAGCCCATCCCTCAGTCAAAGCGCAATCACCGCGGCATCGAGATCCTCAAACTGCTTCAACGCCTCCGCGCTGACGGCCTCGAACGCGACGGGGAACGAGACGAGCGGGCGCACGTTGAGCAGCACGATCTGGTCGGTCTCGGGCCGCACGACGTTCTGGATGGTCCAGTTGAAAGCGTACTCGGAGTACGCCGAGGCGTCGACGGCGATTGCAATGACGCGGGCGGGGGGCGCGCCGGATGCTGCGTGCGTTTCGTGCGGGTGGACGACGTCCTCGTGGACGGAGGTGGGGGTGGGCGCCGACGACGGCATTTGCTTGGGGTGAGTGGAGGAGAGAAAGAAAACTTAACGCCGCTGTTCGGGTTCGGCAAATCCGTGCAAGCGTTTCTGAGACGGAAGTCCGCCTGTCTGTCTCTCTCTCTCTCCTCTCTCTCTCTCTCTCTCTCTCTCTTCTCTCTCTCCCCACAACGCGCACGGTGCAAACAAAAAGCCCTCACTCCACTTCCCCCGGCATGTCAGGGCGGTAAAACAAATCGCAGCAGACGGGTAGGTCAAAGGGCTCTTCCTGTGAGGCCACGCACGACGGCGATGCCGAAAAAGCGGAAGTTTTTTGGGGGCGGACAATTCTGTCTGGGCACACGCCCCCCCGTGGCAACGAGCAAGTAGTTCCGAAATGAGGAAGTACGTGGCCTCGAGGAAAGATGGTCATATGGGGTGGGTGGGTGGATACAGAAGTGACTGCCCGACGCTCACCGCGCATGGGGTGGGTGCGCGGATGGACGGAGGACGGATGACCGTACTGGTAAGAGAAGCAAAGGATTCAATGGGAGACAACGTGGTCCGTCCCGTCCCTTTCCGCTCTCTGCGGCTGCGAGGCCGATAGATGAATGGGTGATTCCCTCCCATCGTGATCGCAGCGTCATTCCGGTGAGAAAAAGGAGGGCAATCGCAATCATTATTAAATATTTGAAATTCGGATTTTCCACGATTCTGACAAAGACAATGAACGAAGAAAGAGCGAGAGAGAGACAGAGAGAGAGAGAGAGAGAGAGAGTGTGTGTGTGTGTGTGTGTGTGCGGGACTGAGCGAGCGACAGACAAGCTCGACCTCTCCGCTTGTGAATCAGAGGTTCGGCCG